ACTTATTATCGCGAGATCCCGAGAAAATAAGTCGGGATCTCGAGATAATAAGTCGGGATCTCGAGATAATAAGTCAGGATCTCGCGATAATAAGTCGGGATCTCGCGATAATAAGTCGGGATCTCGAGATAATAAGTCGGGATCTCGAGATAATAAGTCGGGATCTCGCGATAATAAGTCGGGATCTCGAGATCTCGACTTAGTTTCTCGGGATCTCGCGATAATAAGTCGGGATTTCTTTCCTTTTTTTTTTTTTTCTCCATGTCCCCTTAGGGGCTCCGTACAGGTGAGCTTTTCACAGGTTAACAAAAGAGCTGCAGCTTTGCTTTAAAACAACCTTGTCAGGAGTTTGACCGATTATTATAGATGATGCAGGGAGCTCAAAATGATGTCATGAAAACCAGTCAAGTCTGACATTAAGATCTAGACTGGACTGTTGGTAGGATGGTCACACATTTTAAAAGAAAAGAACCACTGTGCGTTACGATTCTGTTAAACATGGTGGTGGCAGCATCATGTTGTGGGGAAGTTTTGCTCAGCACAGACGGGGAAGTTCCTCAGAGTTCATAGAAACACATATGAAGCTAAATGGAGGAAAACCCTGGAAGAAAACCTTAGGTTTAGAGCAAACATGACTCAGTCGTAGACTGGACTTGCATCCAACTAAAAATCTTTGACTTGAAAGTTGAACCTGTGCTGATTTGCAAATAAAAATGTCCAAAACTTTAAATCTCTACATTTGTAAAGCTGGCAGGAACAATTGTAATTAGAGAAAAGATGGTTCTAAAAACTGAGAACTTAGTAGGGCTAAACAGACAAACTTTTCAGATTTTTATCTTTAAAGTATTGTGCACATCATATATCTCCCTCTATCCAATGCTTACTATGCACAGCTTTGTGTTTGTTTATCCCATAAAATCCACATCAAATATTCTGCAATTTGTGATTGTAAACTGAAAAAGGAAAAAAAAAAAGATTGATGAATAGTTGGCAAGCCACTGAATTTTACAATTTTTTTGGTCGGAGAGGAAATGTACTAACTATTTTATTGTATTTGAAGCCAAATAGGATCAACATTGCTCTTTGAAAACACCAAATTGCAGAACATGAAAGCTTTCTCTTAGTTGCAGCAGACCTAGAAGGGCTTGATGATCAATTTGTCAATCTGATAGCCCGGCAGAAGAAAAATGCTCCAGGAAAATTGAAAGATCAGTCAGAAAAGCACAAAATTGTAGCTTTATCCACACAAGGTAGCAGGAAACCTCACGCTGTCGTTACCAGGCGGCACACGGTTGCACTGAGACAAGATGTGGTGATTTATTATGAAGAGGACGATGCAACACATTGTATATTTTGGTTAGTAATCATAAAATGTTCCGACTCGCATCTAATATACATTAAATAATCAGACACAGAGGCAGTGAGGTGAAGCAGTGGTTATCACTATCTACATAAATAAAAGCCTATCATTGTCAGTTTTATTTTCATCACCAACATATCTGCGTTTTATCTTGGTAGACAAATAATACTAACTTCCAACTGGCTGAAGTGCAGTTATATGATTTCTGAGGAACAGATACAAATAAAACATCTTCCCAGAAATATTTTTCGGGGGGATTTTAAGGATTATACACTTGATGTTAATGTAGAAAGATAATTTCAAGTTTTCAAATAGTTTGCATCTTTACTTTTCATTTTGATTTACTTTTAAGTCACACAAGAGGGACAACCTATGTAAAAATACCTCAAATCTCACCAGGTTCTCACAAATACTTGCAAATACTTCCGTTCCTGTCTTATTGTTAGTGTACTGACCCTATTCTTTGTTTAGACAGACCTATAGTATTTTGAGACACCGCTGCATAGGTTAGAAAAACTATATGTCTAAGAATGAACTGCCATAAACAGTAGGAAAAATATAGTTCCAGAAACATCCACCACCAACCTGCAATGAGTTTAGTGAGGCGGCCATTAAATTCATAGAGGCCATTTTCCATCCTGGTCTTCTGGTTACAACCATGACAATGAAGAAAATACATGTTGTCTAAGTTTAAAATGTTTTTTTTTTTTCTAAAAATGAAATGCATCAACAAATCTGTTGCACAAGCTTAAATCTTTATTTTCATTTTGTTGTAGAAAATGATAAAGAAATAGGAAAATTAGTTTTTAAAAATCCTTAAAAATCAGGATATCGCTGTTTACATTGATAAAAAACTTTAAATCACCAAAAACCTTCATAAGGAGGATCAGAGAGAAGATGAGATAATTTTCTTCTAATGATACTGTTCATTTTATGCATTTCTTTAAAATAACATCAGAGGTCATTCCAGACAGCTCAGACTTGCGTAACTTGCATGATATGCCGTTTTATTTTTAGGCATTCTCAGCATCAAAGTTTTTGTCAGAGTCGGCCATGAAAGCTTCGATCTCCTCCACTGTTCGAGGCACGCAGGTCAGCAGCTCCATGCCGTTGGCTGTCACTGCGATGTCATCCTCGATGCGGACCTGGACAAGTTAAAGACACTGAGGTCAGTTTCATAAACTCAAAGTCCCTGTGAGTGAAAACCTTTATTTTACATTCAACGTTTTCCCATCAATTCAGGAACAAAAAGACATTAAACGTGTCAAACTCCAGAAGCACACTGACCCCTCCGAAGCCTCTGAAGCGGGCCAGCACTTGGGAGTTGATGAAGCAGCTCTGAGCAGGGTCAGCCAGCGCCTTGTCCAGCAGGTGGTTGATGAAGTATATCCCAGGCTCCACAGTGAGGACCATCCTCTCCTGCACCAGGCGGCCCATACGCAGACTCTTTAGTCCGGGCTCATCAATGCGATCTACCCCCTTAAAACACATAGATAATTGTGTCTTTTTACAAAAAAGATACAACCACTTTGGAAAACAAGATAATTCATGTATACTTATAACACTGGGTTACAAAAAAAATATGTTTTGAACATTTTTTTTTTTTTTCAACTGAATAAGGACTATTTTGCACCACTGAATCAAAAAATGACATCCATTTTTCTCAATCAGTTCAGGTTTTTCTTCTAATTTGACTTGGAGAAATGCACTCTTCTGACATTATCAGTTCATTTATATCCATTAATATTTCTCATACAAAAAAGGTTTCAGGAGAAAAAAAATGTTTTCTGACAGAGTGTATTAATTAAAGGTTAAAAACTTTGATTTCTGTAAGTTGAATTATAAACACTGATAAGGGTAAGTACATGTTTATTGAACAGTTTGTCTTCATTGTGCAAAATTCTCCATCTCTTTTCTGTCCTGATGAATCTCTCCTCCTGCTCATCACTGGCTGATCCTCAGGAAACCGATCCATTTGTGAGAACAAGTCATGCATTTTGATGCTCAGAGTTGCAACCAGAGTTCAGAAAGTTGACCTGATTGAGCAAAACCAATGTGATTTTTTTGATTCAGCACATTAAAATGACCCTAAAACAATTGAAAAACCCCCAGCCAATTACTTGGCTGTTGACCAGAGTGATTTACGACATTCGGTTCGTTTAGCCACTAGTTGTTTTACTGTAGTGTGCATAATGGAAGATTTTTGAGGAGCACTAATCAAATGGCCAGAGATCAAAATTGGCCAATTTCTCCTGGATCACCTGTAAATGCATTAAAATTAAAAACATCTAATATATTTTGAGCTGTAAACATTGATCAAAGCCATCTCCTTTGATTAATTTCACTTTCAGTCAGTAAAATTGGGACATTTGATTCGATGTACAAACATGAAAAAGCTTCTAAATATATATATATATATATA